GCTAATTTTTTCTATATCTTTTTAGTTGTTTGGCCAATTTCTTTCTATTTTTAGTAGAGACGGGGGTCTTGCTCTTGCTCAGGCTGGTCTCGAACTCCTGAACTCAAACGATCCGCCTGCCTCGGCCTCCCAGAGAGCTAGGATTACAGGCATGAGCCACCGCGCCCGGCCCAGTTTCACAGGGTTTTGATGTACACCCTGGTGGTACTTGAGTGTAGCTATTCTTGGTGCCATTTACCTAGTGGAATAAATGGCAAAATGATTTGGAAAATGTGGTTGTTTCAGCAGCTGAGCTTATCAGAAGATTGGAAAATATGTTAGCAAACTCTATGGGACAAGGAACTAGCTATGACTCACTGAGCCAGTCACCAAGAAAACTTGGGGAGGAGTGAGTGTGTCTGGGATGCGGTTGCCGATTGTATCGTCATGAATCTCCAACCAGACCCGTGCAGACTGTGGCGTGGTATGTCAGTCTGTGCCGTGGACACAGCCAAGCCAGCGCCAATGGAGTTCATCTGAAGGCACGGGCTTGCTCGACAGTTTTCATTTAATAGGCATCGGTATCAGCCATATGTAATATATGGTGTTCATTTGCCTCGCTGGGAGGAAGCTGTTAAAACTGGCGAGAGTGTAAGTGAAAGCTTAAAGTGCACACTGTTGGTAATAGTTTGGACTTTAAGGAGGCTGTCGATGAGGGAAGTGAGGGAAATATTACTGGAAATTGGATAAAAAGGAATCTTCGTTATGTAGTTTCAGCAAGTTTATCAACACTGTTGCCTGCAGTAATGGGAAGATAGAAAATGCTCCTTATCAGTTTGGTGATTCATAGCCTCTCCAAAAAAATGATGATGCTAAAATTAAGAAATGATTTCTCAGTAAAGATCAAATCACTCAGGAGAATGGTCTAAAGATGAAGCTGAGGGTATGGCTGTATTAATAAAATCATTCAGGGCTGGGCGCGGTGGCTCACGCCTGTAATCCCAACAGTCTGGGAGGCCGAGGCGGGCGGATTGTTTGAGCTCAGGAGTTCGAGACCAGCCTGAGCAAGAGCGAGACCCCGTCTCTACCAAAAATAGAAAGAAATTAATTGGACAACTAAAAATATGTGGGAAAAAAATTAGCCGGGCATGGTGGCGCATGTCTGTAGTCCCAGCTACTCTGGAGGCTGAGGCGGGAGGATTGCTTGAGCTCAGGAGTTTGAGGTTGCTGTGAGCTAGGCTGACGCCACAGCACTCACTCTAGCCCAGGCAAAAGAGTGAGACTCTGTCTCAAAAAAAATAAAATAAAATAAAATCATTCAGTCTGAAAAAAGGACCTCTAAAGAGAATGTACAGATTATATCACTTAACAAAAAAGTCTGGGGAACTTGCTCTAAAAGAATGAGAACTAAATGGGATTTTAAATTTTTTAACGTTGTTCTTATTTTTCTTTTTTAAAGTAACATAACTTAAAAAAATTTTTTATTAGAAACTTGAAACAGTGGTTAAAAATAGGAATTTGAAATCAATGAAAACAGGCAAGAGGTGATGAGGAAAATTCAGAGGCACAGAAAGTACCGAGGACTGCGGCAGCCTTGGAGTTGTCCCCAGGGGGTCCCCACAGTGAACTTGACAGCAGAGAATGGTTTCGACACCATTGAGGCAGACTGGACCCTTGTACTGGAAAAGTGCTTGCATGATTTTATCTATACCTCAGGGTTGTCGTGAGGATTAGCTGAGATAACACATGTAAAAGTACAGAAAATCCATAAAGCATCAGATGCTCTATGCTATGCAGTGCAATGTGACTAAAACGTATGTCCTTGAGAACGCCGAGTCATTCAAAAAATCATAGTCTGTGTGCTTAAAATTCATAGCAATGTTATTAAAGAAGTTATAAGCCTATCCAATAAGAGGTCGGGCAGACAGAGGTGAAATGATCGTTTAAGTCAAGGAGAAGGATTTCACTGACGATTATAAAGAAAGGAAGTTTAAAGTTTAATTATCAATTTCTTTTTCAGTTTAAGTAAGTAACTTAGCTGAATGTGTCCCCCTTTGATTTAGGAACGGTTGATACCCCATCTCTGCAAGAAAGAATACAAGCCAGAGGAAATCCTGAAGAGGTATATCTAGCATCTTAAGTGTGTTTAAACTTTTTGGTTAAAAAACGCCCCCTTCCTTACCTATGGTAGACAAATTCATAGAGACAGAAAGTAGAATGGTGGCTGCCAGGGGTTAGGGGGGAGGGGGAAATGGGGAGTTATCGCTTAGTGGGTGTAGAGTTTCAGTTTTGCAAGGTGAAGAGTTCTGGAAATGGATGGCGGTGAGGGTGTCACAACAATGTAATGTACTTAAACACTATTGAACCGTACACTTAAAATGGTTATTATGGTAAATTTTATGTTACGTGTATTTTACCACAGTTTTTCAAAATGAAAAATAATGCCCTCATCTTTAATATCAGCTTTCTGATCTGTCGCAATGTCTGTGGGTTTTAGAATAACACAAATAGTTTGAGTATCTTGAGTCAAACTATTTTGAGTCACCATAACCCTGTTTGATGATTTGTCAAGGCAACAAGCCGGTGGTTCCTTTTCGCTTTGGACCTGTTGAAGGAGACACAGGTGAGCACACACGGCAGCTCACATCACTCATGTTTGGTGTGGTCTCTGATCACAGGCGCTGAAGGACTTCATGAAGAGACAAAAGACGGGAAGATTTGCGACTGCAGAAGAAATAGCCATGCTCTGTGTGTATTTGGCTTCTGATGAAGTAAGCACTGTTCTTCCCAAGGAGTTCATTATCCTCAATTACGTCTGGCTGCTATTAGCTCATCAAAATAATTCCATGTTAGAGAGTTTACGGCGTATATGTGCTAAGATGCTACATTTATAAAATAGGGATAAGTTCTGATTCAATTTGCCCATAGAAAGGCCACTTTGATCTGAGCCACGGGCTCTTTCTCATTCAGCTTTACATGTCACAAAATCTTGTAGCAAACAAAACGGAGAACTGAAAAAATTAAAGTTCTCAATTTTCCAAGAGACAGTTACTTTAAAAATTACCACTAGGGAAACTCTGATTAAATGTAAGTCAAACAAATGAACTTCTGGGGTTATGAGAGCTTCAGGTGAAATGGGGAGGGGTTAGCCAGATTTAATTATGTCCAGGGGACACAAAATTGGCACGTGGTGTTTTTAGTTTTACCAGTGACTTGTTTGGGAGAATTCCACCGGCTCCTTTTTTTCTATGAATTCTTGTTTGTCATCATGTATGGAAATTCCTAATTCCATCTCTTCCACTTTGCATTGTTTAGTAACCAGTTTCTTCCCTGCTGGCTATTGTACATTTTTAAGTGGCACACAGCTGAAAGCAAAAACTTTGTTTATAAGGTACAGAGCACAAGGACATGGTCCTCTGTTTTATGGCTTGAGCGCTACATAAACAGGGAACTGTAATGTACGAGGAGAGAGAAGGAAAGGGAAGTAGGCGAGTGAGGCGGTATTACACTCACCAGTTATCTCCTCTTTATAGTAACTGGGTGCACACCGGTGAATGTGACAAATACATTAACAACAGTTGTTAATAGCTGGGGAAATTGCTAGATAATTACTAATGGAGAAGCACATTAGCCTTTATGGTTTCTCTGAATCCATGTCTTCAGAAGAGCTCATTTGATTTTGGGGTACTGCTGATAAGCTAAATTACCCTTGTTTAGCCAGAGCTTAGGTTACCAAATATCTGGAAATGTTCTGGCTTGAAGCGCGCAACAAAAGGACCTTTGGATTTTTAGAGTAAACAAGAGGAGTCCATCTGTATAACAGAGATTGCTTTTTAAAAGAACTTGGGGGAATTGGGATTATTTCTTTGGTAAAGTGACTAATAACCCCCTAGTTTATCTACTTATATTATCAGCTTTTGTATATTGAACTTTTAAAGTTTCTGTACTCATATTATGATGTCTTTCCTTCCTGCCTCTTCAATTGTTTTAGGTTTTAGATGAATTTAGAACTAAGAACACAAATTTGAGTCTTTATTATCCATTTTCAGTTAAAATATTTTTAAACTTCTGCCAAAAGGGTCAGCTGTAATGCTTTGACAAATGAAAAATCTGTGGGAATAAAACAGTACTTATTTTCTTAAATCCGTTAGTAATTTTATACACATTTGGATGTCTAAAACTTTACAGAATATTTTTTCATAGCTTAATAGATTATGATTATCATTATTCATGTAAATTTTAAAAACAGATTTAGTATGCTTCAGCTCCTAGAATTACCTATGTATATTGACCAACTAAATATAAGATATCTTTTTAAAAAATAATCTGTCTGGTCATTAACACGACCACTTTATGATGACACACTTATGTTCAGAGTTTAATGGTGGCATAAAACTCGACTAGTTTTGAATAGTTCTGAGTCTCAAACTGAAAATGTGCATTTTAGCCTATCCTTTTATCCTAATTTGGGGAATGGCTGTACATCACTGCTCCTTAGTTTTGTGATTCTGAGACCAAACCTAACAGACCGTGCTCAGAATGTGACACATGCTCAGACACCAGCCAGAGGCCATGTAGCTCTGAGTCACAAGAACACTCGGCAGTTCTAAATCATCCAAACTTTAATTTGGATTTTTCTAAATTCAGTTTTTAAGTGAGGTTTCCTGTTAGCACAAGAGAAAATTGTTTAGTTATCCTAGTTGCAGGAAAATTTAGAAAACACAGCCTGTGTCAAACCTGGTTAACTGTTCTGTCTCCTTATGTTCGTCACTGCAGTCTGCCTACGTGACTGGTAACCCTGTCATCATTGATGGAGGCTGGAGCTTGTGATGTCAGCAACTCCGTGGTGGGAAGGAAGGCAGGCCCTTCCTCTCCACAGTCAGCCTGGTTATGAAGAAAACGCACCGATCATCTCTTTCTTATTAATGACATATTAATGAAAACAAGCCCTTTTTAATGATGTCATTGTTCACAAGAGTCTGATTCTTTAAATATATTTACCTCTTTGTAATCTCTTCTGAAATCATTGTAAGTAAATGAAGTAAAAATACTGAACTCGTTGCAAGAGAATAGTTTTGAAAATAAACCTCAATTTGTAAGCATCTATTTAGTGAGTTTGGGCTGCTGTAACCAATTCCCAGAGACTGGCTGGCTTACACATCAAACATTTATTTGTCAGTCTGGAGGCTGGGAAGTGTAAGATCAAGGCGCCAGCAGATAGTATTTGGTGAGGGCCACTTTCTGGTTTGCAGATGGTCATCTTGCTGTGTGCTCACAAAGCAAGAGCAGAAAGAGTGAGAAAGCAAGCTCTCGTATCTTTTTATAAGGGCACTAATCCCATTCGTGAGGGCTCCTGATTCCCAAGGTCCTGCCTCCTAATACCATCGCATTGGGTGTTAGGGTTTCAACCTGTGAATTTGGGGGGGTGGGGTTGGAATATACAAACATTCAGTCCATAGCAACATATAAAATGAAAATGTGAATATGAAGAAAAAAAGAATTTTTTTAAGGAAAAAGAGTTATTTCTATTTTATTCTGTTTTTCAATAATCAAATATTTTTGTACAGTTCTGCAGTGTTCTGTATACGGACCCTAATTTTAAAATTTTACATCATCAAAAATGAACACCAAAGGTAGGAAGGAGTTTGGCTTCAATAACTTAGTGTAAAGGGAGTTTAGATTCAAAACTACATTATTGATCTGTTACGTAAAATAAAAATAATCCAGTAGTTATACTTACGGGATGTCATTCCTTATTAATTAAATACTAGTTTCTTAGTCTAACTAAACAATCTTTATTGATGTAAGCAATGATATTTGATATGGGCTAAGAAATAGGTAGCTAACTAACTGACAACATTGTCAATGTGAGGAATTTTTTTTTTTTAGATTAAGTACAGATTTCTTCACCCAATTCCAGGATAAGAGACAAGAGTACATGACATTTGGAAATAGTCTCTGGATAAATAAATATAAATGAATTATATAACAGTTAGGAAACTAATGACATTAAGGAAAAGAAAATTTTCAAGAAAAACAGTAAGTAAATTTATGGATGCTAATTCTATAACATTGGTAAGGAGAAGTTTTTTAAAATTTTTAATTTAAGGGTTTTATGTTTGTTTTTTATTTCTTGCAACCTCAAAAGACCAAATGGTATGATGTACATGGAGAAACTCAACAAATGAGTTAGGCATGGTGGCTCATGCCTATAATCCTAGCACTTTGGGAGGCTGAGGTGGGAGGATCACTTGAGGCCAGGAGTTGGAGACCAGTCTGAGCAACATAGCGAGACCTGTTCTTATAAAAAATAGAAAAATTAGCTGGGCATGGTGGCTCACACCATGAGGGACCTGTAGTCCCAGCTACTCAGGAGGCTGAGGCAGGAAGATCGCTTGAGCCTAGGAATTTGAGGTTGCTGTGAGCTATGATGATGCCACTGCACTCTACCCCAGGCAATAGAGTGAGAACTTGTCTCAAAAAAAAAAAAAAAGAAAGAAAGAAAGATAGTCAATAAATAAGCAGTTATTCTCAGCCTTTTTTTCCCTAGAACCTTAATATTAACAAGGAAAATTTTGAAATGGACAAGGAAGGATAATGTTTCATAGATGAGGAAGAACATCACGCAGTTGATTCTGAAGGTAAGTTAAAATTCACAGCAAAGGGTACTTTGACCAGCATTTTGGAAGATTCCATTGATTATAAAGTTTGCTCTGGGGTTCTGGACCAGGTATTCCACTACTGGATCATGGATAGCTTCATCTGTGATGCAGACCAAGTCACCCAACTTAATCTTGGATTTTAATTTTCTGGTTTATAAAATTAGGGAGTTGAGCTAAATGACGGGTTTCTTAACACTGAAGCTTAAAAGTGTATCATGAAATACTTTATGCTGTGAGCAGGTATACATGTATATGTACAGCTGTGAACAAATGAATTTCAGATAAACACACAATGAATTCTACAAAATGGATTCTAACAGTAGCAAATGCTCTGAGTCTTCTCAGAGCCAACCATAAACTATAAAACTTTATAAACATAAGCAATAAAAGCAAAGTAGAACCCAAACCAAAAAAATCAATGTTCTCCAAAGTCATGTTCATCGAATCAGGTGATGCATCAATGAAGATCATATGACTGAAAGAAAAGGAAAAATATATTTCATTCCTGTGGTAAGAGGAAGCTGGATGTCCCCAGAAATTTTTGCAAGCTTTAGGAGAGGAAAAGTTTGGTTTAGGAAAATAAACAGTTTAGATGCTCTGAAGAGGGGTATTGGCTGGAACCCAGGTTCATCACAAGGGGGGACCCGAGAGACGGGAATGAGTGGTTTCTGTCTGGTGGAGAAATTTGAGGATAATGCTTCTTGCCTGAGGAGCGGTGATTAAATCCGGCACTTAGTTGAAGGAACGAAAACAGGTAAGACGTGCGCACGCATACACACGCGCGCACACAGGGGACACGGGAAAGGAAGACGCAAAAATGCAAGTGAGAAATTCAAGCGGAGTCAAACTGTTGATGGAAGGTGTGAGATCTAAATACAGCAAGAAAGGCACGTGTTAAAGAAACGGTAAAAGGGGGATGAACAAGTCTTACTTCGCTGGTCACCTGAAGGGAGAATCCTGCCTTCCCGCGGCGCGTGCTACACGGTGGGGCGCGGCGAAGCGAGCGCGCGGCGGGCGGGTTTCCAGGGCGCTTTCCCGGGAAGCGCGCTCGCCCTGTCCCCGGGGCTCCGCGGAACCGCCCAGAGAGAACGCGCCGCCGGAATGCCGCGCGGCGCTGCTCCGAGGTCCCAGGCCCGCGCCGCCCGGCCCGAAACCCGCGGGGAGCGCACGGCCGCGGCGGCGCGGGGACCGGCCCAGGCTCGCTCCGGAGGCTCCCGCGGCGCGGCCGCCGGGCGGTGTGCGCGGAAGGCGGGGCCGCCGACGCCCGGTTATCTGCGGGGGTCGCAGCCTCCGTGCCCCGCCGGGGACGACGGCGAGCCGGAAGCCCAGCGCGCGGCGGCTACCCCGGGCTGCGCCGCCTGCGCCGCACGCCTCCTAGCCCGTTTCCTAGTCGGCACGACGCAGCCGAGTGGACTCCGCCGGTGCCGCCCGCTGAGAGGCCCGGGAGACACGGAGGGTAAATAAAGCAGCCCCGCGGCGGGAATCTTGCAGGCCCCCGGGGGCCAGGGAACAAGAGCGAGGACCCAGCGGTTTCTGTTTGTGCAGTGTGTGTGCGTGTGTGTGTGTGTGTGCGTGTGTGTGTGTGCGCGCTGTGGTCAGATGTTGGAGTAATTGCTTTTGTTTTAGTTCTCAAGTCAGCCAAAGGGCTTTGCTTTTGCGGGCTGCGTTAGCACGCTTGAGGTGCTAAGAATCCTCAGATCCCACGGACTGGAGAATATACCACCTGCTTAAAGCGCACGGTGGGGCCGCGGCCTTTTTCCCTACCGGGATCAGCTTGTCTCGCCCTTGTTATCTCACTCTAAACTCTAGACTCTAGGGGTGATTTGTTGCCCCGAAAGATTAACAGCCGGAAGCCACTCTTTCCTTTACCCTCCTAGCAAGAAATCAACCTGTTTTCACTGAAAGGCTAAAACCTTTCCCCCAGCCCCTGTATCAGGGGCCGCCGCTTGACAGTTATTGCTGCTACGCATGGAATTCTCGTTTGCTTTCTCTCAAAGTCAGGAATGAAACACTTCAATTAAGCGAGTGCCTGTGTGTCCTCTTTGTGCCAAGCAGCCATGGGGACAGGAGATACAAATATGAATTAAATACAGTTTCTATCATACCGGAGTTCAAAATCCAGTGGATCAGAATATACCTAAACGAGTACAGTAATTAGGTAGTGTGAGTCATGCTATACTAATAATGTGAGCAAAGTGACCGAATCACATAGTATATTTTCTAAGGTACGAAGGCCTTTAGAATTATAGTCCTGTTGACTACACGCTGCCTTTTTTTTTTTTTTTTTTTGTAGGGCTTCTATAGAAGGTATCACAGAATAAGTGGAAAACAGTCGGCGACCTGGGCCTTAGTCCTGGGGCCTATGCGCAAAGTTCTGGGCTGAATGTGGAAGTTGGCACTCACATCTCTTCCTGCCTGTTTCTAGTGTGTCTTCTCGTACAGCAGAAATTGGAAAGCTATAAACATTCCCCAGACTCCCTTCCAGCTAGAGTTTTGGATGTAAAATTAGGGTCTGGCAAGTAGATGGCTTACCTGAGACTTCAGAGGCAGGGTGAGGCAGAGGCCATCCTCCTGGTTTTTTGACTATTTTCTGCTGGCAAGGAAGCTCCAGGAGATGCCATCGTCCCGTCTCCAGAATTGTGTATATTGGGAGGAGCTCAGCAGCAGAGACAGCCAGACTCAGCACTGCTCTGTTGAATTACCAGCTGTGTGGCTGTCAAGAGGCAGTTGAGGGAGGTGGTGAACATATTCTGTGTTCCCTGCCTAAGCAGTTTCTAGGTCTCACCTACAGTGGTGTTCTTGAACCCCATAGGCCCTGCCTGTGGAGCTTCCTGATTGTGGCAAAAATGGTATTCCTTCATGGTTCAGTTGCTGGTGTTCTAGAAGTCGTTCCTGGGGGCTCAGCCTCAGCCCTTTACTTCTAGCCCTTTAACAATCTGGTGAGCACTTAATTCCCTGTATACAATCTCTTTCTGCTTAAAATACCTGGAATGGTTTCTGTTTCTGCATCGACTCTGATTAGTGTGCTTTTATGTAGCCTCTAAGAGTTACCTAAACCTAATGTCGTCAGTTTCTTTGGTTGGGAAATGAAACCATGAGATTAGATCTAGAGATCTGTGGGAATTTGAATGCTTTAATTGGGCTGGGCGTCTCCACTTGCCACTCCCACATTGCCTGTTACCTGCCTGGCCCCTGAAGGCGTCTGTTCATTACCTATAGACTAGATCTGTAAAGTCTCTTGCTGCTTTACAAGTATAATGTGAAACATTTTTTCATTTAGAAATATTTACAAAACATTTTCTGTAACATGAGATTGTCACCCTATTATTTGTTAGTCCTAGTGATAATTCGTATTCTGCTTTCTCTTAGGTACCATACAAACTTCAGTGATAGAATATATTTTTCCTCTGGGGGGAAGGGGTTTATATCGTTTTCACACA